TCTTCTTCTTCTTCTTCTTCTTCTTTTACTTCCTTATTTTCTTTTTTCTATCCTCTTTTTCGTTAATCCTTCCAAAGTCAATTTAAATAACGTATCGATGATTTCGTACGTACGATGAGTCAATATCTTTATTCGCCGAGATTCGTAAGAAAACATTAAAGTCATTAAAGGTATTTATGTACGTAGAGTCATTTGTGTCGAATCTTTAACTTCTTCTAATTCGAAAGCCATTAAAGTTATCTTATTTGACGAAATTTATAATCCATAAAAAATTACGATTTAAACGGGCCAACCTTTAAGTTATGTACAAATTGAATCGAAAACAAAAATATTGTGATTAATAATTGTCCCGGAAAATGAATTTCATCGTCGAATTTCTTTTCGAACGACCATTCGTAAAATTCATATGGAAATTCTGGAAATTCCAAATGGATCTCTCTGTTGAAAGATTGTGGCTTATCTGGTTGGTTGAGTCAGCAACCATATACGATTCGAAGTTTAATGACACTGTACGCTCGTAAGGAAAAGGGGGAGAACCATGAGTGAATGTTAACTCTGATAGCGACTTGCTCACTGGACCGCAGAGTATACGTGACGCGATTGTTTAACTCGTTTCAATAAAAAGAAGAAAATATTAATAAAGAATAAATTAACGAACGAATGAATAAATGAATAAATAAATGATAAATAAATGAAATGTGAAAAGTTGCGCAAAATTTATTTTCTCCGTGTAAAAGAGAGAGCGAGAGAGAGAGAGAGAGAGAGAGAGAGAGAGAGTGAGAGGGGAGGATGTCCAAGAATAGGTATCATTTTTCTTTTCCTTCTTCTTTCAATTCACCCATGTAATGATATTACGATTGTGTAATCCTGTTATTGTGTTATTCCTGCAAGGGAAAGGTAGCCGTGATTCTTTGACGTCAATGTAAACTTACTTGGAATCAGGAAATCGATGCGTGAGCGCAGTAACGAGCTACGACTGGTCACTACTTACAATTAGCAGACGCTATTAGTTGGTATCGCTCGTGTCTCGGTAATTCTAAGCGCAGGCGCGAAACGAAGAAAAATAGAGGAAGAAAGAAATGATGAAGAAGGAGAGAAACGTAGATCGTATGGGAAGATTTGACTTGTGAAATAATTGTTTTCCATTCATTTTTATGACGTAGATAGGCAAACGTAGAAAGCGTTGAGACATGAGAGAACGGTTAGCCTGTTTTAAACTCGTTAAATTTATAATTAACCACGCGTCGTTATATCACGTCCTTACAACACACGTGTCGATTAAATGATGACCATGAGATATTCTACGTAAAACTTTTAATTGAAAATTTCCGAATCTACGTCATAGAATCGAATAATATATAAAGATAAAACGACGTTTTTCTTCGTCCTTGTCAAAATTGTTTTATATCGTGTATAAAAAGATTTGTTTTTTTTTTACATGTTTCTTTTTCTTTTTTTTCCTTACCAATAAGATTTTTCTACGCGATAAGGAACATAAACGATATTGATACGCTAAATAATCCTATTCTAAGGCACGTTCGCCGATGGTATGCCCGGAGTTTATATACAGTCAGCAAGTGTCGATAATTATCGATCTGATTCATACGTGAAGCGTTTAATCATTTAATCGATCGAAACGAAAGGTTCCGATCGATCGATTGAATGTACGATTAAGTCCAAAGTAAACGGGGTAAATGAGTTTTCACGTTCAATGGAGTGGTCGACGACCGAGTTGCTTGTGTTTCTGCGAGTACACGTTAAAATACTTCTTCTTAATGACTACTTTGTTGGCACTTTCGCTCTCGGACGTTTATTCGAGTCGTTGAAAATTTCAAGACTCTTTTCTTTCCAAGTCTATAAGCTTTTATGAAAACCTTTAGTCGATAAAATAAACAAAATCGTCGAAGGAAAATAAATTTGAACTATAGAATTTAGATATCGTATCTATACGATTGAAAAGAAATATCTAAATAAGTAATTAGAATGCGTATATATCTATTAAATAAATTCTTATTTATATATCTACATACGTTAGACGACGCGCGTACGAGCGCGTGCCAGAGTCCGTGAAAGTATCATTAATCGCAGACGATCTGTCTCGTTGATGTCTCCGACCAGTCATCGTACTTCTTCGTCACCGTTTACTATAAAGAAAGAGAATATTTGCGAGGTATCTAAATGCTTAAAAAAAATGTTTTCCTACGAGACTCGAGAAACTTTAATTTTATCCGAGTTTCTAAATCCTAGAAAATTGAAAAGTTTCGAAGAAGGAGAAGAGAAAAAAAGAAGATGTATATATGTGTGTGGGTGTGTGTGCGTGTGTGTATAACGAGGGATAAGGAAGACCGAAACGAACGATGAGAAATTCATTCTCGTTAGAAACAACAATATGTAGTATGTACATATGTACGTGCATAAGTGTGCTATCGTGACACGACATCCTTCTTATCGCGAAGCACTCAAAATATGGTATATAAGACGTTTCTTTGGATGCTCGTTAACGAAGAACATCGTACATTCGTAATCGCTTTAATACGAGTATTTGCGACTAGACGATAAAGTAAGTGCGTATTTAAAGACGATAATAAGTAAGTACGAACGTACGAGTTTGTTAACAATTATTTTAAATAATAAGCAGCCTATGATAAGCTACTAATGCTGTTTTGTTTAAAAATAAAAAGATAAAAAAATACATAATACAAAAAATAGAAAAACAAAACATATTTAAACGATTAAATCGAAGGCATATACACTAACGCACTTACGTACCGTTGCACATCGATTTAATATTTCTAAAGTTTCTTCGAAATCTAAAAGTATCGATCGACAATGGCCTTCGTTTTTGAATATCAAACAGTTTGATAATGTTATCTAATTGTTTCTCTTACTAAGAAGCCTTAGAAGATTATTCCGAACGCGTGACTTCTTATGATCGAAGTAACTTGCTCGGACTCTCGTCGTATAAAGACGATTCTAATTACTTACGTAGATAAACTTCACCGAATTGCGAAACGGGTTTTCTCGAGTTCTGATAGTATGCCAAGAAATCGTCCTCGAGTCCTCGTCGTCGAGTTCTTCCGCGAAAACATTAAATTTCATATTCATAAGCGCGCCGTGCATTACGCGCTGCAACTACTTCAATATAGACGTTTATCTCCTCCTACATGGCTCGATTATAACACTTGCTCATTAGATTTTCTAACTCTTTCATTTGCTCATTCTTCTATTTTTCTTGTCCCTTTTTTTTTCATTCTCGTTGATTACATCGAATCGACACACTGGGATAAAACGTGCCTACGAAGAAGTCGAATAAAAAGTGAAATAGGAGGAGTCGATCGTGGAATCGATCTTTCGTTTTGATAGATACGTTTCTTTAATCGAACTAAAATTGAATTCGTGGGAGAAACTAGAAAAAAGAAGAAGGAAGAAAAAAAAAAGGAAGAAAAAAGAAAAAGAAAGAGGAAAGACGAAAAATGCAAATCTAATTATATACGCATATGATTCTATTTTTTTTTTTCTCTGCCGGCCATATCCCCTTCCTCCCTTTGTTTTTTTCCCTTTCCTGTAAAACCGATAACTGCTTAACTCCACTAAGAATAATCTCGGAATCGAAGTCGATTCCGAGAATGCCGTACGAATGATAGCTGTTGTAGATATATCGGATAGATTGGTAGTGCGATGGCGATGCTGCGAATCAATGTCGCAATTTTTACGAGTGCGATTTCTTTGTGTTTACAGAAAAAAGAAAAGGAAAAAAAAAAGAAAAAGAAGAAAGAAAAAACAAAAAGAGAAATAAAGGGATAGAGTTTATATAAGCTAAGAAAATGAGTAAGTATTAGTTAATATTTCTTTGAACTCAATTTATTTACCCAAAGAATATGAATTGAAAAGAAAGAATTTTTTCAATTGTTTACATGTCAAAGAATAGAAAAAATTCTTCACCGTTTTTATTCCCACCTTGTTATTTGTAATTATAAAGGATAGTTATAAGACCGATTGCTTCTAAACTTTGTTTATGGACGTAACCCTGTAGACTTATAATGAGAACTTGTTTGTCAAGTACGATTACAATACCATTTTTAACAAGATCCACAAAAAAAAGATGAACGAACAGGTTTTGGTTATCTTGTCGATCCACCATAATCTGAAAGAAAGAAAAAAAATAGAAAGAAAAAAAGGAAAAAGAATATGATTCTTAATTTTTTTTTTCTTTTCTTTTTTTTTTTTTTTTTTTTTTACCTATTTTCGATAGAATAATAGCGAACTTTTTCTATGGTAAAAATGTACATATCTGATTGATAATAAAGATTAATAGATGACGATATAATATAATAGGCAGATACCTTTTTATACGTAAATTTCTTCTTCCGATTAATGATAATTCACATTTTTCTATCCCCGTTAGAATAACATTAAGGACGTCTCGTTAGAGGATTATAATTAATAATAGCTCGAAGAAGTAATGTATTGCGTTATATAATCATAGTAATATTTGATATCGTATAGACGCCAGATAATATATATGATAACCTTAGGGCGTTATTACACTTTCACTCGATATATATATTTGATTGATATAATTGACGGAATTTCCCAATGTAATTTAAATCTTGCGCTTATAAGATCTAAATCGATGTTGCCCGTTTCCCTTCGTTTCGTGAGAAAGCCTTAGGCGAGGACATTACGCGACAATAATCAAGGTTTAAGTCATCCAATGTCAAAGTGGATTTGCCGTTTCTCTGACTAATCGGGCCAGTATTCTGCGGTTGCAATCTTTCTAAAGTTACTTTGCACGTGAGTAATCATAGCTAACGTTCGTCTGCTTCACCGTCTCTCTCTCTCTCTCTCTCTCTCTCTCTCTCCCTCTCTTTATTTTCTATCATCTGTCTTCGCTCTTTCGTTCACGTTTTTACTGATGAACAAAGTTTATACCGTTTACTTGATATTTATGATGTTCACATGTATTATCTTTACTGTATTCATTTGCCATTGTTATGTAAACTTGAAATAAATTATTTATTTATTTTATTTAATTTATGTATAATCTATTTTGATTATTGATTATACGAAGTAGGACGTTTACAAGTTAAAAATATGTAGAAGCACATTAAAAGAACGAAGAAATGCATTAACAATTCGCGATTATTTTACTCGGGGATTTCCTACGTGTCGAACGTGACGTGCCTCTTATCTCACTTCTGCTACTCTCTCTCTCTCTCTCTCTTTTCCTCCGTTCCTATTATCATCATCTTTGTTTATTATGTTTATTTATTGTCCGCGATCGAAGAAAGAGGAGTCGAAAGAGAACTCGCGCATTGTCAATATTTGGATTGAGCTGAGCGTTGTGTTCATTAGTAAGAATCATTGCGAAAAGTCAACGGAACGTATACATTCGTTTTTTCAATTTTCTGCCTTCTGCAATTATATTTATTATACAGATACTGATCTTAGCATTTCGTATAATAAGAGAAAAAAAGTAAAGAAATAAATAACAAAATTGAAATAAAATTTTTCAGAAAATGAAAAAATTGTCGGCGCAATAACACGTGTCGTTTATCGCACGTTCGAAACTTTGAAGGTTCGACGAAACTATTCGATAATTATTCGGTATGCGTTGAAGCGACGATAGCGCGGCAGTTATGTGACCCAGTTTTCAAAGAGGAAGCTAGAAAGAGAGAAAGAGAGAGAAAGAGCCAGGCGACATTGCGATCGACCAAACAGTCGGTGCGAATAAACTCGTGCACCGACTAAACTCACGATCGGACCGGATACAGTTCAGACATCTCACGACGACAGTTTCGTTCGTACCCTTCGACTTTCTTACATTTTTCTTAATTCGTTGATTTTTCTGTTCGAGGACGAGGTCTTGATCCTTGAGACTCGTGATTCGTATATTCGAGAGTTACCTCTGAGAATATTTTCTACTTACATCTGCGACCCATCGCGATAATCTCGAGCAACACATTATCAACAATAGTTCCTCTCGTAAGTATATACAATATAGGGAATTAAATCGCTATTTTAAATTTGTCCATTAAAAATGTTTTTCTCACCTATTTAGCTTACGCAAATTCTCATCAATTTTCTCCTCATCCTCGTGTAGCAAATACTGTTTACCTCCCTTTAAAGAAGTCCTGAAGAAAGAAAAAAAGTATAATGTTATTTTTCTGCAACTTTTTCTCTCTGATTCTCTCTCTCTCTCTCTCTCTCTCTCTCTTTTATAGCATTCTATTAATTTGTTTATACTTCCAGAACCTACTGTAAGAATTCATATAAGTTGAATTGAGAGTAATTGAAATTAAAATCTCTTTTATCCTCGGCAGATAGTCTCGATAGCGCCGACATTAAATTATCGTTGTAGAATTGCCAATAGTTCATCATAAAGTAAGACAAGGAAATATTGGCAACGTAGATCTTCCTTTGCAGTTTTAGTAACCTAAATTGACAACAAAGTATAATGACTGTTGGGCAATTTTTTTATAAATTAATATTATCTAACCAACGATCCTTTTTTTTATTTTTTATCATTTTCTCTTTAAATAACAAACGTACGGAAAAATTGATCATGCTTATCGTATTGAACCATGTCCCTTTGTTAACATACGATGAAAATAACATATATATATATATATATATATATATATAACGTATAAATTATATTATATATCATGGCTTTATAGTCATGGCTTTCGCCCTGGAAACGTCCACTCATTGAATATTTTTGTTTTATACGATGTATCACAGGAAAGAAATTCGCTCGCATATTATCGCAATGGACCACTTTATATGAAAAGACACATACTTTTTTTTGTCATGATATATACGATTAAAAAAAAATTATTTAGTTTAGATAAAGTCTTTAGATATATGGACTTAACACTTACATCGGTTTACGTCCGGAAAATTTCAAGATTTGGTCTAATATCAAAGCCGGAAACACTTGGAAAATTATTACGCAGATGTAATAATACATATAACATACAGTAATCGACAAATGTGGATACCATATGGGATTTTCCAATGGATTTATCGTGTTTATTTTTAAAGACATCCTAACCATTTCGTTTATACTGATTTTCTTTATCTTGTACGACGAAACATTGTAAACTTCGACCTTTGGATTTTGTGTTACCCTACGACATAATATACCATAATATTATAAAGAGACATGTCAGAGATATTCAGACTTAACGTTGTAATATATACGTTAATCGATTGAATTTAAAAAAAAAACGAACATAAATCCTGTTATCGTTTATAATCGTTTATTAACGATTAGTTTTTGACATTAACTTTACGTAGATATTAATACGTCGATTAGATTACATAAGTGGTAAATGAGAAAATATTTTAATTTAAACGGTCCCAACGTTTATCAATTTGGATTTTCCAGTCGTTAGATCAACGACCGTTTTGTGATTTATAATATAAAACAAATACAATGTATTGTATTGTATATTGAAGAAAAACTTACGACATTTGTCCTCGAATGTAGGCACTGATTATAAAACTTTTAATAACGATATCGGCGGGTATATAATCAAGCTCTTTATCTGGATCTGCGTAAAGTATTTTTAATATTCCTTTTCCACCACCGACCATTAGACCTCCTGGACCATTAAAGTTGTCTACCCAACCTGGTATTGGTTCATCCATCGTCGATATGACTATAAAGAAATATTATGGTGTAATAGATAAAACGTCGTCGCAGTTGACGTCTCATGTGAAAATTCAAGGAACCGACTGATCGATACCTCGAATTTATATGCCTTCAAACTCTTCGATCGGTAAGCGAACGAAGGCATTACACGTCCTGAGAACGATTGGGTATTACCCAGGAAATCTATCTCTTACATATGTCGACGATATGGAAAACTCTGGTCATGAGAAAAATGTCATCATGAGAAAAACGAGTCTCTCGATTAATTTCTTTTATTTTTTCTTTCGAATGCGTAACAATGAAATAGAAATGTATGTAAAGATGATCTCGATATATATATATATATATAGAAAAAAATGTACCTATCGACGGTCTCACTATGACGCAAGGCAATCGAGTGGAAAAATCACTTATCACGTTTTCGGCCAACTTCTTTGAGAAAATGTAAGTGTTCGGTAACGTTCCTATGTATCTGCAAAAAAAAATTTCCAAATTCTTTGGAAGATATTCTTTGAAGGAAAATAATATCGATAACATGGGAAACGTACTTTGAAGTTAAGATGGTCAAAATGTGATCATCGACATTTTCTGTTATTTCGATAGTTTGTCTCCAATCGATTTCTGCTGGATAAGTTGTTTCTTCTACACAGGACTTATCGCAATGAGCATAGGTTGAGCTAATGTGCACGAGAGCCTTTACGAAAAGGAATGGAACAAAAATATTTTATCCTTCTTTTTCTCCTCTCATTTCTTTCTTTTTTTTAATCTACTTACTACCAATTTTTTCATTTTTTCCCCCAGCAAGCAAATGTCTCTTGCCGATCTTAAATTGGTGAAAATAGCATTCCGTAAACTGTCGTTAAATTTAACATTCGCAGCAATGTGAAATATTATAGATACATTATCGATAAGTATTTGTTTGTCGATTGAATCCAATCCTAAATCTTTTTCTGATACATCACCCTTTACAACAATCACTTTCTCAAAAGCAGAAGGATTCATTTCTTTGAGTTTATTGAAGATCTGAAAAAATGTTGGCTTAATATTTTTTTTTTTTTTTTTTTTTTTTTTTAATACGTCTTTTAGTATACGTCTTATACGACTCTATAATCTTTGATCCATCTTTAATCGATATACATGTATAAGCACTTACTGGTAATGTGAATAATTTCTTTAATCTATCGTCGATTGTAATATTCTTTTTCGGTCGCATTAATATAAATATTTCTTTTATGTCAGGACACGAACGTAAACATTTTTCGATCAAAATTTTTCCTAAAAAGCCGGTGCCACCCGTTATAAAAATGCTCCTTCCGGCGAAAAATTTCGATATGTTTTTGATTTCATATTCTTGTTGTTTCTCCATCTGAAATGAGGACAATAATGATTAGCGATGAACAAAAAAAATACATACACATACACACGTTACACACAGCTATATAGCAAAAGATGATCGAGCGTGAAGTTACTTATGACAGAGGCAAAAAGAAATAATTAAAAATTATCATTCACTCACTTTCTCTTCTTTCTCTTTTCTATTTGTTCACTCAAGTCAAAATAAAATTATATTTGTATTCTTATTCACCAAAATAAAGTTCGATGCCGATCGTGAAAAGTGGTCTTGATGTACGACTCGCACCTTAAGAACATACTTTCGACACGAAAGTAAAGAAACGACTGAGTTTCGACATCAAAGTAACACAGGAAATGATATTGAATACAAAAATAACAATCATTCTTACAGTTCAAGGAGCAAAGCATTTCATATGTATGATATGCACATTAATATATAATTTTAGTATGATGCAAATTATTAACACACGTACATTATTTATAATGCTTTATTTTAACTATCATATATAACTATTAGAAATGGATGTTCTTAGGAACTCGTTGCATTCTTGTTAAGAAAACGATAGATAAAGAATATATGGCCACCTTTATATGGACTTGAGTATTCTTAGTCAAGTACGTAATTTTCAATAATGACATCGGGCCGGGCAATAAATAAATAATAAAAGTAAACCCTTAGACGCGACGAATCGAAGGTTATCTGGCGCCTTGAAATATCCATTGATGATCTCTAGTCTATAAGATCACTAAAACAAAAGGGCACACATGAAATATTCAAATATTCCAATGAACTATCCTGACCCATTCTCGACCAATTTCTTTTTTCCTTACTTTTTCTCAGAGCATACTTCATACTCATATCATACTTTCCGCCCTTTTCATTTCCTTTCCTATTTTCACTACAGTCTGTCTGAATAATTAACTCTAAAGAAACGAAAAAGTCAATCAAGTTACATCCTTTAGACTCACGATATCTAGACTCTCGAGTCTTATTAAATATTACTGGCTATTATTCCTTTAGAAATAGCCAGCATAATTAATTACTCATCATTATACAAAATACATCAACAATTGTATCTTATTTCAACGAATATACGGTGATAGTTTCAATTCGCGAAATATTTATTAACGCGCATCTACCTCAAGGGATTCTTTAAAAGAACGTGCGTTTTCTCATTAATTTGCGACAACTTGGCGAGCGTTATTTTGCTGACGGTCTTCAACGATATTCTAGCCTAGTGACGCCGTCTCTATTCATCGCGACCGGTGATTCTATAAGCTCTGACAACAATGAAGAGACGAGAGAAATTCTTCGTGCAAATCAACTATCATCACTGATCCAATACGAGACGCACATTTAAAAACATTCTCGTAGTTGTGTCCTGACGACGCAACAAAAATACCAAATGATAGATAAATGGTCATTTGGGAAAATTTAGACAATAGATATAATATTCATTGATTGGTCGTAAATTATCTAGATTTGTAGTTTTATAATTTGACAAAAAGTAATTGCTCTAAAAAAGTTTATATATACAACAAATCATTACCAATTGATTTCCTCGTAACTTTATCAATAAAGTAAAACTTTACATACGCGTAATTTGTATCTTTAATTTTATTTCAAATTATTACAAATTTTACGAATAACTTGTCAATATCGTAAATATATATACATGCGTGTGTATCTATGAGGGAGGGAGGAGACAAAAAGGTAATGGACGATTCCATAAAAATCTTACGATTTCGTGGCAAACATCAGTCGATGATTAAATGTTTTCTTATCTCTTGTCGCTTTAAAACACTCCGTCAATCGTCGCTGGTAACAGCGAACTCCGGAAAAAGAGAGAGAAAAAGTAACGAAAGCATGACTTATTTCCTATAATCTTTTGTAATGCTGCTATTTGTAGAATATGACGACAGCCCCCCCTCTCTCTCTCTCTCTCTCTCTCCATTGTTAATTAAATACGATGTATGTATTATTATTTTCGCTCTCGATATTCGAGAGTTTACACGTCCTCAAAGCCAATTTCAGATTCTAAATTTTTCTCGTTTCTTTTTTAGTTTGTTTAAAACGTTTAATTAATTGAAATAAATTGAACGTTTCTAAGTGAATGATGATATTTGGATCATAATAGACAAAGTGAAAATATAATAAACAAAGTTATGATATAATCCTTTTGTTAATCGACGATTAAAATTTTTCACGAGAAATATTTTACATCGGTTAACCTTTTAGATGGATACGGAAAAAGAAAGTCTCAAAATGATCTTTTCGAATCGTACCGATATCGATAAAAGTATGAGCAAGACGGACATGACATACCCGTCCGAAATGAAATACTCGACCGAACCATCTGTTTCCAAAATGTCTTATATCAAGTTAGTCGCTCTAATTTCTAAACTCGTCAAATCATCGTTCTCTCTCTCTCTCTCTCTCTCTCTCTCTCTCTCTTTCTCTCTCTTTGTATAGTTCGATATATATATGTATGTAAATCATATATTAAAAACACAAAAGAAAAAAGATTTTGATCATTGATATAATTTTAAGATAGTGTCTGTCCTAAAATTGACATTAAAAATATATTTATGAAAATATAATATACTCTTTCTATAATTAAAAGCATTTCACGATGTCAATTTGTCGAGCACTCAATGTGGATATTTAATGGATGTTGATTGTTCGACGTTTCAACGAACTACCTACGTAAAGTCATGACTTTGATCGAGTAGCCGAAAAAGAAAAGAGAGAGAGAGAGAGAGAGAGAGAGAGAGAGAGAGAGAGAGAGAGAGAGAGAGAAAATACAAGTGCTTGTTTGGATATGCAAATAACCCGAAAGAAAATTAAACCGGTTTGGTGTATATTGGATTCGATATTTTAAAGAATCCAGACGAATATCATGCATTGTCTGTAGTTCATTAACGATGCTTCGTTAAATCACATTCAAGCATTTAAAATAATACATAAAGGAGAAAACTGTTGTTTTTCTCTTGCTATCATTCTTCATTCGGAATTTACACACTTTACCTCCGCGTAACTTTTGAAGAAATTGAGATTGATCTTGGATTTGTGTGTAAATCGATTGCATTTTTGATTTTTCTTTTTCCTCCTAGAGACGGCGTAAAAATCAAAAAAGGTAGAAGGAAAAAAAGAAAACTTGTCTCGAATGATATCGAGTTGGATACCTCGTTAGAAGAGTCCATATACGACGAGTACGAAGAGGATTCTAAAATTGCTATCAAGTGGGAATATCCAAAGCCAAGAATAATTCCTCGTGCTTCTGTTCTAGTAATAATGATAATTAAAAATAACCAAAAAATGATCATGCTTTCTGATGAATATTTATATTTCTCTTTCTTTTTTTTTATTTTCAATTAAACTTTGACCGATCTGATAAATATTTTATTACTTTAATGGTTAGACGAATACTTAAGTATTTCACTTAAGGATTATCAGAAAATAATTTAATCTGATTAATTCGTGATTCGAATTCGATTCTGAACTTTGATACTTTATTTATAAGGTTATAAGTTTCTCGATTTCCTTTGTATACAATTTTTAAGTCATTATGTAAATCACTTTGCATGCATACACATACCCATACGCAATTTAAAAAAGTAAAAAAACAAGAAAAAGTTTACGAAAAAGTATCGTCGATCGATGTCGAATGATTGAAAATTATTTTTACTTCGTAGTTTCTTTCTTTTCTTTTTATCTTTCTTACTTGGCTAAATACAATTTATTTGAAAACGAGCCTATCTTTCGTGCAAACCTTCTTCGAGAGTCTACCGAAGTAACTTTACATTTGGCAGAGCAGGAAATTGATGTTAGACCTCGCGTGAATCGATAATTCAAGGAAATTAACTGCAATTTAGGAAGGTTGCTGCTTTCTCTCTCTCTCTCATTCTCACACACACATACACACACACACACACACACACACACGCTCTCCGCCTTATCACCTTGATCCATCGCAATTATTAGCTTTCGCTAAACTAATAGTGAATTAAAATCGATAATCGCCAGGAAGGAAAATGATAAGTAATTGTATTTCTGTGTTCCAGATACGAGAATGGATAGACGAACAGGTAAATTTTATCTTTAGTAAATTTATTTCGATTCTTTATATATTAAAATTCGATCGCAAATTAATTGAAAATTTGTACAGGTACATTGCGTTCTCCACAAGTTTTACAAAGAGGGCTGATTAATATGAAATCTCTAGTTATCGTAACCGATCGCTTTAGTTAAGCAGTTTGCCTGAAAAACGAAGAAAGATGACTAAAAAGGCAAGAAGAGCTTTGCAAAAGAAGCAAGCAGTGGCAGCTGCCGAGGAGGCCGAAAGAATAAGGTAATAAATTGTAAACGATTTTACTATTCTTTTTTTCCTCTTCCTAAAAAGAAGAAGAAAAAAAGGAAAAGGAGGAAAAGAGAAAAGAAAAGAAAAGAAAAGAAAAGAAAAGAAAAGAAAAGTCATAGTTTAAGTTTTGCTTGATAATACAAAAATATGCGGTTGAAATTTTGTCAGGACGAGTACAGAAATCAAGTTTTCATGTGCAATAATCAGTGCAGAGGAAAAACGTGTGTCGTGATAACTCCTTTCCTGAATCTACGGTCGGACCGCGTATACTGTAGCCGAGTGCGAACATAAAATTCGCACGATATGAGTTTGGCAGAATTCCATTTCTTATCTATGCAACTCGCTTTCGACCCACTTCCTCTTGAAGTTACTTCGGCAATTCACCCCTTACCAACCCTCTAACGTACACCCTCTAAATCTCGATGAGTTTCAGTCTAGTTTCGTACCTCCGAGCGATCGTCTTAAACGATCTCTCTCTTTGTCTCTCTCTCTCTCTCTTTTTTTCTTATAAATTTGTTTAAAATAATGTTGGGCGATTCGTTGAAGTCGATTGTCTTTTTCGAAAGTTACATTAGAGTGTCTAAGCCAAGATTTAAAAACGAAGAGGAAAGGTAGACCCTTCGATCTGTTTCCTTTTATTTTCTTTTTTCTTTTTTTTTTTCCTGTTTAAAGAACAAGTCCTTTATGTAAGAGATCGTCGAATACTCTTCCAGATTGCAATTGATAAAGGATATTCAAGAAGAAATTCACTTGGAGAAATACAAAGCCGAACAGGAAATTCTATTGGAGGAGAGCCAAACGGCTATGCGAAAAATCCAATTGGAGGAGACGTGGTTCGTGACTTACGAAAATAAAAAGGCGTTTATGGATCACGTTCTTGCCGCCGAGAAAATGGAAAACGTGCGTCTTTAGACGTATTATAGATTTTAATTATTTAATTTTTAACCGCCTTTATATCTTGATCTGCGTAGGCTTCTTATATTAGCATAATATCTGTACTTACTGAATGTAATTAATTTCAGTGGATTATGTACTTAACGTGTGAAAATTTACCAGACGTCGCTGAATTGTCCGATATGAATACATTCATATTCCTTTGGTCGTTAGAGGACGAAGACGTAAACATGGAACTGGTTGTGGAAAAAAACGAAGTCGTACAATACGTATGTTTTTTTTTAACGTATTATATCACATCCTGATTGATGGTCAAGAAAAATAAACGGTTGAGACGCTTTTCGTAAATCATATGTGCATATTTTCAGTTATTGCTGCAGCTTCATAAAATCATCAATTTCTCATTAACGAGATCTATCGATTACATAGAAGAATGTAAAATGGTAAGCGTCGATTAAATATGCAAATGCATAGTCGCGATTTCAAAATAGGTTAGGCAAAGTTTTAGGACGAAGTTGCAAAATTGGATAGACCAAGCTTGTTATCGGCTTTTACGTCAGATCGAGAGAGATATGCTTAGAGTGGATCTGAAGAACGCGACTTATGTCAAAATAACGAAGCATCTCATTTGTTGCGTATGGGCTTTGATTAAACTACCGATCAGTATTAAAGAAATTCCTGAAAAAGAAAGGTACGTCCTTTTCCTTTTAATTTCTTTTCTTTTTCGGATCAACGAAAATCCTAGAACGTAGAGGGACCGAGATTAGGAAGGATTCGTTTGATCCGATTGACAGAAAATCGATCGAGATTCACTTCGAGGAAATAAATCTGACGATAAAGATACCACCGGACATTGATTGCTACTGTATGGCTGTCCGTGGACTGTGGCTCGATTACGATCATTATTCAGACATTGCGACGTCTTACGTTATGCCGGAAATACCAGAGGAATATCGAATGAATATGGGTGAAAAAACTTTGAATTTTTATTCAACTTTTATATAACGCGTATAATTATATATTTCTTTCTCTTTCGTTATATATATATATATATATTTATATATATATATATATATATATATATATATATATAGAGAGAGAGAGAGAGAGAGAGTATGAAAATTTCAAAAATTCGAAGGACATTTCTTTTCCTCTCTCAGATCTTATCACTTTTTGCTCCGAGGAATACGAAACGAAACGAAAAATACGCGATGAACAAGTCGAGGGACGTCGTTTGAGGATGGAAGAGAAAAAAGCTATGCTATGGAAAATGGAGAATCCGGCACCGGTGGTGCCGGTAAAGTTAGATAAGAAAGGAAGAAAAACCGGTAGTCAATATGGCCGGATAAAGAGACCGGAATCGGAACAGGAAATAGAACCGCTCCCGTATTTACCGACTCCGAACGAAATCATTTTGTTCAAAGAAGGTAATATAAATAATTTGTCATTTTCTTATTAATGGGATACAATCATCGATGATATAGTTTTTATCTCGTAGAGGAATTAAGGAAGGAACTTAGAAAGTTGTTGTTTACCAAATGCGAAAAGACGGAAGTAAATCTACGAAAGTACAAAATCTTAGGTGGTATCTATCACATAGATCTCCTTTATCAGCCGCCTCAGCCTAAGGACATGCGAAGAGATATATTTCTTACCACTCGTAATGCGCACGTTCGCAATTTCTAATGTATACGAGATAAATATACAGAGATATCCATTCGAACGGATCTCATTTTTTTTCTAGTGCAAATTCCGAAAGAACTGAAGCACGTACCGTTTTACAAACCGTACAAGGCACCACCGCCGGTACCGCCTACCGAGAGAACACCGGAAGTGATCGAGAATGAGATGAAGGCTTTGGAAACTGCAATGGAGGCTCTCGTATTGGTTACGTTAAAGTACATTCTCTCTTATAAGGAAACATATTTTATCGTAAAAATGTAGGTAGAACGAATCGATGAATTTCATTTCATTTCAAATCTATCTTAGATTACCGGATACGGTTTTATGGTTCGAACCACCGTTGGTGGCTCATTGGATTTCTGAGAAAAATATTTGGTCGACCCAAGACATCCATGACATAAAGTTCAACGAAGATAAACAACAGATCACATTCCGCACCGGGAGATTTGGAATTCATGGCCTGGCGGCATATAAACTGATCAATTTGCCATTTCAAAGTTGGGAACTTAGGCCAGAAATGGGAAGGAATAGTGGCGGTGGAGTAACTCTTAACATAACAGCTGCTACAGTTCAAGCGGAATTTGTTGTCAGGGTATGCCAATGTTACGAGTTATATCAATTTCTGTTTTGTGTGTCAATCTTTTTTAGGAGGATTCGGTATGTTTGAATTCGTTGGTCGGAGGCACCTCGTCGGCGCTTCAAAATATCGTTGGCATATATATGAAATTGAACTTTTTAATAGACGTGAGTTTAAATTTAATCTTTCCGTTTATAACTCTCCAATTTCTTATCTAATAGTTGAGAGATTTTTTTTTTTTTTTTTTTAATTTCTTCGTAATATCGAAAACGCATTAGAAAATGCGAGAAGGTGGCTGCGATTTATTTCCGGAACGAGATGCGGCGAGTTACATAAAAGGACTTTCCGTGAAGCATCCAGTAGCCCAGAAACACTTGCAAGAATGCATAGGTCTATTGTGTATGGCTTATACATTTTCCTGGTCTAGGTGGAACGTGAAGAGATGTTCGCGTGAAATCGTCCTGCAATTTAAAGAACTTCATGGATGCGTCGCCAAAGAGGTAATTTTGATCATACGCGATTAACTTTCTTCCTTCTTCTATCCATCTATATTCTCTCTTCCTCATCCATCTTCTCTCATAATTTTATTCAGCTTCTTCTAGATAATTCATATAATCCAATCATAATATGAATATGCAATGAGAAACGACGATCACATACATCGCCTTGACGTAATCGAATAGCCGCTAGCATATGATTTTCCTCAAAAAAAAAAAAAAAAAAAAAAAAAAAAACACTTCGATCCTCTAAATTCTTATTATTTCAAATTAACGAATATCTTTGGAACGATCCAAAGATTCCAAATCATTCGAGAACGTTATCGTTTGCTAATCATTATATCCCTTATCTATTGTTTTTATCATTTGCAGCGTACCAATATCACACTTTTAGTGACGCCTTCTCAAACGATTGCTGTTCAATGTACCGAGATCAGCCCAGAATTTTCCAATGTTCCTATAGATGGCGATAGTGCGAAGGTGTGCTAAACATAACAAATCTTAATCATTTTATTCGCCATATTTTTCTTTGCCTTTCTCTCTTTTTTTTTTTTTATAGTTTTACGCCGATCTATATCATTTGGCATTGCACAATGCTGGAATTAAAAGTCGTCTGCTGATAAAAGATATCTCCTACAAGCTTGCTCTAACGGTCACAAGATTGCTAAAAAGTACTAACGTGATAAGTATGTCGTCCTAAAACTCTCTTTTATCTTCTATTAGCCTATATTAACTTTATCGCCGACGAGAATCACCGAACAAAGGAAAAAATATATGAATAAAGAAATATATATATATATATATATATATATATATATATATATATATATATATATATATATATGCATATGTTATTCTATTCATTTCCCATGTAAGAATTAATTCATTCGGAATTACCCTAAGTAGAAAGAATCTCTATGAAAATATCATAAATCATTGGGAATGATCGATCGAATAATTTATGTGAGAAAAATAGATGAAAGGAATCGAAGTTTTTATTCTTTTCATGCATTTCTTAAATGCTAGCGAAATGAAATGGGCGCACAGAGATAATCCTTTTCTATTTCTTATGTAGTGTCTTTTCTCTTTCCTTTTTCTTTTTTTTTTTTTCTTTTTTTCTTTTTTTTCTTCAAACAGAGGGTCTTTTATTTAAATACATAACATTGTTTCGATCTTTCAAGTTGTTTTACATGTCACGGGTGTCGAACGGTGATCAATAATTGTTCTCTCTCTCTCTCTCTCTCTCTCTCTCTCTCTTTCTCTCTTTTGTTTTCGACAATTAGAAAAAAATGTTTTTTCTTCGAAGCAAAATTATATTGATTTTCGATGAGTTATGAATTGTATGCACTAATATAAAAGAAAATAAAACAAAGAAAAAAACAAAAGAAAATACAAAAAATAAAAAAAAAGAAACAAAATGAAAGCTTCAGATTTCGTATGGCTTCCCTTCATATTTTTAACATTTTTGTGCTTTCCTATTTTATTGCATTTTCTTCCTTTGACTTTACACAATCGCACATACACACACACACACACACACCCAAACGCATGCACACAGCGCACGTGCGCGCATATACACACACACACACGCTTCGTTTTTCTTATTACATTCAGCTCTTTGTATCTTACTCTATTCTTTTATATATTACGTGTGTGCGTATAAACTAAAGGAAAAAAAGGGGGAAAAGAATGTCAAGAAATCTTTGGTTTTCCAAAGATTTGATTTCGTAGTTATAAAGAAACTTGCGTGATCGTATCATGAATCAGCTGACAAAATTAAACCGTCGATCTTTTTCCCGTATGCATGCAATTTGTCGAATCGTCTTCCCTTCGGCGAGTGCGACGTTAAATCGAAAATATTTTTAACAAAGTGAACGAAAACCCGTCGGTCTCGTTGATAAGGAAAACGTTACGATTGCTTTTGTTTTTAATTTTTTTTACTTGAAACAATTACGATTTTGATCAATCCTCTTTCTTCTTTTTCTCTTTCTTCTTTTCTTTTTTTTTTTTTCTATCACTTTTACGAAAAAGAAAAAAACAATCGTTGTTTCAACGAGCAACGAGGATATGCATTTTCTTTGCAAGGGACGTACTCGTACGTAATAACAGCTGATATATCGTTGTTTTCGTATACGTGTAAGTGTTAATAATCTGCGAAAGCGCAGTAGCGCTTTACTTACACTAATACTCGCCAGCTGATCCATCAGCTTTATCTAACAAAAACTACCGCATTTATTTGTAAATTTATATACCCGTGTGGTATAACATATTAACAGTTAGTTATTTCTTTCCCCTCTCTTTGCATAACTTACAATAATTATACAAAACTATTTTGTCACGTATCAATGAAATAAATTGGAAAATATCGAATCCGATGGATTTCATTAATATTTGTACGGAATGTATTGAAAATTTGTAAAAAAAAAAGGAAAGAAAAAAAAAAGAAGAATATCAAAAGGATAAATGAAAAATATGAAAATAAATTTTTTAATTCGAGAAAGATCATAAACGTCTCTTATTTCTTTGTTTTTTTTTTTTCCATCTTATTAATCTACCACCTACTTTAATTCTAATCATTTTTGACTCTGCGAATACAGCTGTCAAGTCTGCTTATATAAACAAAATATTACATATGTATACAATATATACAAAAATGAAATATTATATTTAAATAGAGAAGCATTTATGAAAATATAAATCATTAATATTTTTGTCGTCACTGAAAATTAGAATATTGAAAGGAAAGAGAAGATGACAAAAGAAAAGAAAAGAAAAAAAAGGCATGGATAATTTGAGAGCACCAAAGGATTTACTCCAATAAACGAGATTTCGTTAGTGAACTGTTTTTCTTTTTCTTTTTTCTTTTTTCTTTTTTTCTTCTTTTTTCTTTTTTTTTCCTTTTCTTCAAATCTTATAACTCTTTTTCTCGGATCAATTAGCGGACACAAGATACGTCTAGGAAACTTACGCGGCACTCACTTAATTAGCTTACTTTTAATCATACAGAAAGACATACCTTACACGTAGCGTATTGGAAATAGATATCTCATTTAAATATTAATCTAAGGATCTATCTTCTTTTCTCTCACTCTTTCTTTCTTTACATTTTTTTTTCTACCTATATATTTTCTCTCTTTCCTTCTTTCTTCCTCTCTGTCTGTCATCGCTTTTTCACTGTTTTATCGTCTTAATCCATTGCGCAGCAAAAATATTTGTAATTCTGTGGAACAATGTTATTTGCAGGTATGTTTGTGATTCGAGCCCGATATCTTATTAGTATTCTTCAGGCCCGATGACTTTCATGAGATAAGACGTTTGACTATTTTTCGAAAGATAGCCAAAAAAAGGCAAAAAATATATATACTATTTATTTAGACATATATATATATATATATGTATATATATATATATATATATATATATATATATATATATTTATATTATTTTTCGTCGAGTGATTAGTCGGATGAATCGAATTTTTGTATTATCACAAAGAGCAAAATACGACTAGAAAAAATAAAAACTGTAGGATATAATTTTATATACATTCACACGTAAAGTAATGTTTCGAAAGGAGAATAAAACAAAAACAAAAAAAAAACAAAAAGGAAAGAAGAAAAAGAAAAAATAACCAAGTTGGTATAATCGATTGAATTTACGAACGTATATACTCCATTCCATTCATAAGATTTTTCTTATTATTTTGATGTGACGCTAATTGCGAAAGATCTTACAATGTAAATACGTGCACGCGTGAGCGTCGTGTGCGTTCATATTACCACATATTTAACGACAATTGTATGATTTGTCTACAGTTAGGAATAATATACATATATGCATATATATATGTATATATATATACATATGTACATATATACATATATATATATATAATATATATATAAGCATGTATATATACATACACAAAGCATGTAGCTTTTGAATATACAAATCGAGAGAGGAATAATTATATCCTTTAGGCTCTCTATATCGACCTATTGCAAATGAAACTAAGAAAGAAAGACAAGTAGAATAATTAATAATTATCGAAGCTTAAAATCTATAAACGATAGGTAAGTATGTATGTGTATATTTGCAACGACGATTGAATTACGCAAAATAGCATTTTTTCTTTAGTACCGAGTATGATTAATAATAATAATAATAATAATAATAATAATAATAATAATAATAATAATAATAATAATAATAATAATAATAATAATAACAATAATGATAATCATGCTTTCAATAGTTAATGTCGTTCTTTCATGCTCGAGATAAAACTTGATCGTTTTTTAAGCTGCTTACAATTGACGTAATCCATAGTATAAGGCCCACTTCACTTTCCGTTTTTTTTACTATTGCAAACTATTTTCTAAATCTTATTTTCTTTTTTTTTTTTTTCTTTTTCTTTTGCTGCTTCGACGGCTCTCTCTCTCTCTCTCTCTCTCTCTCTTTTCTATATACCTCTTATAGAACTAATATATGTATTTTCAAACTGCGCAATGTAAAGTTTTAAACATCGAACATTTCCGACCACCATATTTCGGCTATTTATTTATTTTCTTATCGTTTTGTTTTGTGCCAACTGAATATTCTCTCTCTCTCTCTCTCTCTCTCTCTCCCTCTCTCCCTCTCTCTCATTTATCACTTATCGCGTAAGCACGATCAATCGTTTTTTTTCTTTGTTTTGTTTTAACTGTACTCTCGTGTTCATATTCTTGTAGTTTGTTTTTAATACCTACGCTTTGACATACATGTATCACGATATAAATTAGCATCCCTATATAACACACACGATATTTTCTTCCGTATTTACGATAGGTACTTAAGCATTAAAATGTTAAACCCAGTCTGTAACGAACGTTAAAATCATGGTCAACGATTTGACACGACGAAAAAAGAAGCCTAGGATATTTGAACCTAGGAAGCCACAGTATACGTGTTACTCTTCGTGGTACGCGTAGATTTTATCGGCTACTCCGAAGAAGCTACCGAATCGTTGTCTTGCGGTATCAAAATTTAAATTAATTAAAATTGATTATTAAATATAAGAGACAAACTTATCATATTTAATTGATATCAAATATGATATCAAAAATACATAAATGGTATCATTGAATAAAATTAAATTAAAAATATTTACATACGGACCATCAATGTCCTTGATATAAAGAGAAATTTCGAATAATTAATAAATTAAAAGTCGAAATTAGTTATGTTTGATTTAAATTAAAATGAAAAAATCGTACGCGAGTAACGTGTAATAGTTAAAAAAAAAAAAAAAAAGTAAAGGTAAACAGAAATAAAAACAAAAGAAAAAAGACTATATTGTCTACCAAGCACTTCGTTAATTAAAATTTGTTTTTGGCACGATCTTTTAATTTTGATAATAATTTTCTATAAAGTATGCAACGTGTACGTCTCTCTCTTTTCCTCTTTATTTTCTTTAATTTAATTAATCAGTACGGATTAATTTCATGCGCCGATCATAAAATAATGAAAATAGATGAATAATCGATATCGATGACTTCGATCGAAGCTTTCTTAAATATATACACACACAATGCGATTACAATCGATTCTATTACGACGAATATTCAATATTACTGCGTTTCCTTCGTGTCACCCTGTATATACGGAATACTAATTAATCACATAGTACTAGATAATTTTTTTTTCTTTTTCTGTTAGTTAACAGCAACAATTTTTCACAAAACTTTCAACTAAACGACCGGACTCTGAAACTTCTTAAATTTGAGATTTCTAATAAACAACACCACGTAATACCATCATTTTAACGTACATGATCAATAAACCGGGAAACATTTTTTTAATTTTCTTCTTTCATCTTATACGTATATACAATGTATACAGGCTACGACATACAAATATTATCTAATCTTTTGTGCTACTCCAATACTTTTTAGGCACGACCGCATGGAGTTTCTTTATGTAATCGCCATTGCGAAAAGCGTTGCCACGCTGTAACATTCGATAAAAATACAATTTTTCAATTATGTTTCAAGTTCTGCATGAATTATGAATGTTTCCTAAATGTCTAAATGTAGATGTAATGTTTTTCTAAATCTTTTCTTTCTTTTTCTTCTTCTTCTTCCTTTTTTCTTTTTTTCTTTTTTTTTTCTTTTTTTTAGACTCATAGCAAGAAAAATTGATCGACACCCAGAGGATATGATTAAATTTTATAAACAACTTTTGTGTCACATGAAGAGATTACTATTGATTTCATCAAATTTCAAACAAGTTGATCAATTATTATTATTATTATGATCGTGTGATCCAATACGAATAATTATTAATATTAAAATATTGCATATGTAATAACGGTCGTGCCTAACGGATAAAAGCTGAACGATTGAAACGAGTGTACTATTATGCAGAAAGAAAATCATCACGATGACAAAACTACATCGATCATACTTATTGCGAAAAAGGCAAAGCTTTTTCGCCGGGGATCCAGGGGGCAGAACTCCCTGACAACACAGAAATACTGGTTTTATATAATATATTCATTATATAACCATTTACTCACATTATATATATATATATATATGTATATATAATCTATATATAATATATATAATACATAAATATATATTATATATATTTATATTATAGACTAATTTATTCGCTTTTATTTATTTAGTTTTTTTTTTTTTACGTACTAACCCCTTACGGTATGCAATCCGCCTCTCTCTCTCTCTCTCTCTCTCTCTCTCTCTCTTCGTGCACACAATAAGCCTCATTTTAGACGCGACAGGAGAGATCGATCTTCGATTATGAAAACGTACAACGTCGTTTCTTCGTTTACATAGCTCTATTTCGTTAAGCTAACTCAATAGGTATTCGTAAAAATATGCGCGTGTATTAGAGAATTTTTTTTTTACAATAATTTTTGAGAGGCTTTCGAAAGAAAACGACCGTATATCCTGTCTTTTTTTAATCGGACTTTTTTTCCTATCAGAACGTAGAACGTATTAGTTAGTTTTCTCTTATCCCTTACTTACATGCACTTTCGCAACACGCAAAATGAATAAGTTGCGGCAAAAGAGATAATAAAAAAAAAGAAAAAAAAAAAAAAAACGTGTCAGTATATTTTACCGTAACCGCGATATACATACATATACATACAGGTATATCCCGTGATATTTTGATATCTTCGAGCCCTAAGCGACGACGGTCGTTCGATCGATCGAAATGAGGAAACGCATCGGATCCACGAATAATATTCGCTCTAAATACGGAATTGTATATTAATTATGGATACGAATATTTTAACGGATATTGATAATGATATTATAATAATTTTGTAATAATCAGTTACAAGTAGGACTTTTCGTATCTATAATTGATTTACTATCCTGTATTATATTTTATATAGCGAGTATAGCTTTTGCCTTTCTCAGTTTTTCGTTTCCTCTTCTCTTATCCCGTACGTCCCGTTAAGAGAGGAACGCTCGAAGCGAGCGTGTATCAAGCAAAATTCACGATCGAATTTTATTCGACGGGGATTATCTACATTATTGTTATTAACAGCAGAATATCAGGTATAATGTAACAATAGATTTTTTTCTTTTTTTTTTTTTTTTTTCTCTTTTCCTTCATCAACTCTCTTCTCCAATTTTTTTTTTTCCTGTATTTTTGTTAATAAGTGTATAAGGTACACCGATCACAATTTACCGCTCGAAAAATGTCCCCCTACCCCTCCCGAGAAATCACGTCTGGCTTCGATACAAAAGTTTCTCGTTAAAAATATCTTTCTCTCTTTCTTTATATATCTTTCATCCCTTTCGTATTGGCTGATACTACTATAATAGCTATTAGTTGAAAATTATGATCATTTTGATCGAGCGAATCAAACAACCGAAACAGCTTGCACTTGTTCACCTTTCGTACTAATTAATCGTTTCGCTTTTCGAACGAAATTACTTTTCTTGATCGAATCGTCAACAGAAAGAAATAAAATGAAACATTATCTTTTATAAGTTTAATAGCTAAATAAATGTAATTTCTTTTTTATTTTTTTCTTTTTTTTCTTTTTTTATTTTTTTTTTTCTTATTTTTTTAATTTACTTTCCGTAAATTTTCGCTCGTAATATTTCACGCGTTTTTTGTCCTTTTTTTTGTTTTTTTTTGTTCTTTTTTTTTGTTTTTTTTTTTTTGAAAAAATCTGTTCATCTCTTTCAATTACTCTTCTATTTTCATTAATGTTAATGTGCAGCTGAAAATGATAAGAAAAATGAATAAATCATATATAATTAGCGTCAATGCGCGATTAGAAAATTACTCGCTCGGCAGCAAAAATGTATTCATATATAAAAATTACCTTAGCGTTAAAAACTATCTCTCACTATAATGAACTTGGGCGGGGGCGGGGGCGGGGGCGGGGGCGAGGGCGGGGGGAGGAGGAGGGGTGCGCGCGCGAATATTCGTTTTAAAAATTACCGGCGGTACTTTCGAAAATACAAAACGGTCAACAACGTCTCTGAGAAAGATAACAGCTTACTATATCTCTTTATCTCCTTCTTATTCCTTTCTTCTTCTTCTTCTTCTTGGATTTTTTTCTTCTTTTTTTACCTTCATTTTTTTTCTTTTCTTCGTTACTTTATTATTCGGCAAGGAAATGTGATTTTCCTTTTCCTTCTTCTTTCTCTCTTTTTCTTATACATACACACACACACACACACACACACTCTCTCTCTCTCTCTCTCTCCTGTTCTCCCGGGAACAGTCGATCGAAGAAAGTTACTTCACAACCCATGGCCGATGTCAATTAACGTCACGATTAAGGATCGTTCATTCTCTCTCTCTCTCTTTCTCTCTTTCTCCCTCTGTCACATACATACTGACACACGCACGCACGCACGCACACATTCATCCACTTCTTACAAGATATATATATATATATATATATATATATATATATGTATATATATACACATATATATACCTTTCATGCGATCTCTTCGTTTCGAACTCTTCATTTCCAATCGGGAAATTTTTTTTATATCGCTCGTCCCTTCTTCGTGCCATTCGTAGTATACATATGATATAAGTGTGAACGTGTACAATAATGCATGTACGTCTGTCTGTAGATTAATGTTTGCATGAAGTTTTTCTATATGGATATACATATCTTTAAGTGTGTACGTATACGTATGTATATCAGTGTGTATATCCACGACATATGGATATATCGACGAGGATACGTCGTTTTTTTCCCTGACGTTGTTCTTCGCTTTTTTTTTTTTTTTTTTTTTTTTTTTTTTTAATTGAACTTTTCTATACGGAACGATCGATCGAAGCGCGTTCATCATCATCGTCGTCGTGGTCGTCGTAGTCGTCGTCGGCGTCGTCGTTGTCGTTGTCGTCGTCATCGTCGTCATCCCCAAACGATCCCTCTTCGAACGAATCGCTTCTCCTCGGAGGCCGAATTCGTTCGTACGTACGATCTGCAAAGATCATTCTCCTTGCTGATTTTTTATTCGGGCTTCAAACGATGCCACTGTATTACTGTTTGTTTTGGTTTCGTTATCATGTCCTGCCAGTGTTTCGTCTCGCTCGCACCGCTTCCGTTCTTACCTGAAAATCATTTTTATTGTTCAATTTTTGTTCTCGTTTTTTCTTTCGTTTTCTTCCAAACACTGTACATATCCGTGCGTTTTATAACGCATTATCCAAAAAGCAATTTTATTATTTAATCGATTATATTGAACGATATGATATATAGATAAAGTACGTCTATATCACGTTTTTACGAAATCTTACAAAGATATTAACTCATTGATATTAATTCATTGAACGATCATTTTTCATTAGAATAAATCAACTCGTTAAACTCGTTAAACTTACCTGCGAGCTGTATACGGCCAATAAGCTCATTACGTCCTATATTATCAAAGTCCATGACCATAACATCGAGCGAACACTCTCTGATCTTTTCCCACGGTACGTTGAACGCGAACGTTTCATTGAATACAGGATTGAGAGTGCACTTGAATATTGGTGTCTTACGTTTTTCGATTCTCTTGTCGCCGAATTGTAGCCAGACTTTTACATAAGGATCTAAAACAATAAGATATTTATATAGTAACCGATCGATGGGAGTAGGAGGGAGTGGGGGGAATCGTTAAAAAAAAAAAAAAACAAAAAAAGAAAAAAGAAATCTTTTATTTACCTGATTTCCCGTTAATGTCTTTGGCCTTGAGATTTCTCGCCTTTAAGAGCGACAACGTAAGCACCGAATTACTTGGATGATAGCACAACGAACACAAAAGTTCTCCGCATTTGTCCTTAGCCGGTGGTTTAAGAGCCTTCCAAAATGATGGCTTCTCCGATAGATCGACCTGAAACACGTCAGCAATATCTTTAATCGAATGATACATCTCTTTCTTATAAATCGTTTATGCGAATACGAGAAAGACGAGGTGTGTGTTGTAGGTATATGCGTGTGTCTATCTAGGAGAAATCGTGAGGATCGTCGTTTATTTACATTGGTCATACGTATATGCGTGTACGACGTTCGTTTCTATTGACGCTATTCAATCCATGAAAGAGGAGAGAATACACAGTCGAGATTTGCTCTTGGGAAATGAATGTATACGTAGTACGAATTATCACTGGTACAGCGTCAACATACATTTGAAAATAGCATGATCTCGAATTAATCCACCAAGGTACCCATTGTCATCAACCTTAAATAAGACAAAGGACATACCTAAGTAAGTACTTACTTTTTCTCACGTTAAAAAGTATATCTTCGTTATGCATACGAAATTATTATACGAATTTATGTTTTATGAAAAGAAAAGAAAAAGAAAAAAAAAAAAAAAAAAAAAAAGAAAAGAAAAAGTAAGGTGAAAGGTCCTGATAAAAAGGAAGAATTAAATTTAAAAGAATGTTTCATTGGGAGAATATCGTACTGTGAACTATCTAAATACATAGTAGCGTTCACGCTTTTTATTGTTTTTCGTTGCGATTCATGAAGCTTACAGTTCGCACGAGAAATGGAGAAACATTTTTAATGGCTGCTTACTCCGCTGAGATAGAGAGAGAGAGAGAGAGAGAGAGAGAGAGAGAGAGAGAGAGAGAAAGAGAGAGAGAGACAGGAGACAAGAGACGAGAGGCGAGCGTATAAATCGTGTCGGAAAGTGTTTTATCGTTGTAGATAGAAAAACGAAAAATGGATGGATGATGTTGCGTAAACATTGTGATACATTATAGTTGATAATAAATAGACTTCGTCGTATTTTTATGCTTCTTTTCTTTTTTTTCTATCTTCTGTTTAGACTCTTTGATGATAATGTCATACAGCCTCACGGTAAATAACAATGAAACAAAATCTTTTTTCTTTTAATAAAATGTTGCTTAATAAAATTGTATATTATCGTGGCTAAAAAAAAGAACTGTGAAACACAGAGATGGTAATATATAGTTATAAAAAAAAAAGTATCAAGTATTAAAACGAATATATCTACATACGTCTACATAGATATGTGCAACCTTTGAAATTACCTGACAAAGTGGTAGAAAAATTTCTCCTATGGAGTCGTCCCTTGAGAATCGATCGTAATCGAAGACGTGAAGATGTAGCACTCTGCTTTGCAACTTCTGAATAGGAAAACCTGTAAAGAACGAATACTCTCATAGTTTATATACTTTTCAGAGTATCAAACTGTTTCGCATAAGTCTGTCCGTTTCTCTTCATTTTTTTAATAAAGGATTTAGTGTCACAATAAACTTCTTTTTTATTTTTCATTTTTTCTTCTTTTTTTCTTTTTTTTTCTTTTTTTTTTTCTTTTTTTTTTTCTTTGTTAATAACCATCGAACGCGTTAAATATTGTTTTTATAAGAGCGATAAAACAACGGAAGCACACAGTTCTAACAGATGGTCAAACAATTTCGTATTATAACTGGGAAAAACTCGGTCCCGTTCACATTGAACCAGTATGTCGTATTTTCTCCGCGAATCGAATTTTCAGAGGCGTTTTCGAACCGGTCATCCGTTATCGGTGCTCGTCGAAATAAAAAATCACGATTTCATTTATTTCCTGACCGATGAAGCGAAAGACTGAACTTTCGTCGAACATCGGCTTATATTCCTATTTACAATTTAATATTTGTATGAGATACGAATTTCGTAAATCATTCACGTGTCGAATTTTATTAACGATTGGACCCGCTTAATGAAAAAAGAAAAGATGAAAATTGGAAATAAATTTTTTTCTTTCCTTTTTCCTTTTTCTTTTCTCTCTCTCTCTCTCTCTCTCTCCGTTTTTCTTTTTTTCCTTTTCTGTCGCACTCGACGCAATTCGAAATTGTTATTTGCATTAGTTAGTAAAGAAAAAGAAATACAAAGCGAAATAAGATTATATCAAACAAGTGCAGGTTAAAATCTCACCTTCGAAATAAAGCGTCTCGTTCCATTTCGGATTCAGTGTGCGTCTTTTGATGTTTGTCTGGAGACGATGCTTTTTGTCAGGAAGTAGCGTCACGCGTACATACGGATCAGACGTTCCAGACAAATCCTTTGCGGGTAGATCCTTACCCTGAGAAAAAAGGTCGAACGAAGACGTCAAAAATCCATTTGTGAAAACGTTGTATTTGCAATTTCACGTATGCATCTCTCTCTCCCTCCCTCTCTCTCTCTCTCTCTCTCCCCCTCTTTATCTTATTTTCTAGAATAAATCATAAATAGAAGAAGAAGAAAAACAATTAATAGAATATTTTTATGCAATAATTATTACACATTATTTTCCATAGTCGATTTTCAATAAAATAAGCGTAATATTTTAAGGTCTTTGATGCTTAGAAATAAAATTAATAAAGGCACCCCTACTCTATAAAGTCAACGCACGTGTACGAAGGTTGTCGTTTTTTATTAAACCTGTTCTCCTTCTTCAAATTGTATTATATATATATATATATATATATATATATATATATATATATTGTAGATTATAGATAAAAAAAATTTTATTTTCACATAAACTGATGAGAATAAGCTATTTTCTTTTTTTTTTTCTTACATGATAACAACAAGTTGTTTTTTTTCTTTAAGGAATAAATCTTCCTTCGACGATAATAACGAATATAATGCGAGATTCACGAGTAAACTCTTTTAAATGATTTATCCTCTGAGCATAATTATATTAAGAAAGAGAAAATGGTAAAGTATAAATGTTCTTTTGCAAAACCCGTGATACTTTTTCATTAGATTCGAGCTGTTTTCGAGAAAACTTTCTAATGGTATTACGATGACTAAAATGCATCGCTAGGATAGGAAGTGTTTACTCGAATGACAAGTGCTTTCCGATTGTTAGAAAAGCTTTTATCTTTAAAATATACGTATGCATATATATATATGTGTATGCAAATACCTATATAAACAATATATATATGTTATATGAAGCTAAATATGCAGTTCTATCATAAACATATTTCCAATGGATACACGCGAGATAATCGATATTAGTCATTTAATATTCATTCATTTTAATTATGTAAAGTAAGTTTTACGAGATGGTTAACGATTCCATAAATTAGTCGAACATGAATATCGAAATGTCCAAATGTCTAACCGATAATGATCTTGCTTCCTATTATAACGTTGCAATGCAATAACATCTACTTTTGTTTTAATAAAGTACAACGTGGTACAGCGTAACCAGAGTTTAGAGAGTTCGTATGGCGTAATCAGATTAGCTTTTATTCCAAAAACTAGAATGAAAACGAAAACAATGACATCGAAACAATCCTATTTTATTCTCCGAAAATGATTCATACGAAACGGTCGACAATTTATTTTTTTCTAACATATTCAATATACGATATATTAGACGTTTATTAAATCGCATTTAAATAGAAATATTTTTTTTTATCCACGTTAAACGTAAATCCTTTTTTAACGATATATAATTATTACACGTTTACGATTTAAAAATTTTTTAAAAATCACATTTCTTCCTTCAGATTTCTTTTATGTGTATAAATTAGATCTCGAAATTCTTATCGAACATCGTTACAAGCTTGCGAACATGAAATACCGCCTTGATTTCTACAGCGACACGAAACGAAAATGTTTCTGACAGATCTTGCTGACTCTCTCGACATGAAACGATTCAGTAAGAGAAATAAAAAGAGAGAGAGAGAGAGAGAGAGAGAGAGAGAAACAGTTCAAACTTATCTCATTTTGGTTTCTGCTGATCATGATATCCAAGGAACTTGCGAGAGTTCAATGTCGATAATGGCAATAAATTCTAAAATCAACCGGAAGAGGATGAAGGAGAGAGAGAGAGAGAGAGGAAGATTTACATGAATTAATATGTATTTTGATATGGAAATGAAAGAGAAAGAAAGAGAATGATTAAGTTGCGATATCGATTAGACCTAATTAAAATTTCGAATAGTCGATGTTAAATTCTTGAAAATGAGAAACTAGATAGAAAGATAAAATACGATGAAAATACGATGAAAAATAAAATTACGATGATCATTTCAATTATTTACATTATACAGAATTAGTCTTTAAACGCGGATGACAGGCATGTCGATCGATTTAATCGTAAATTTTTATCGAAACGCGAACAATACGTTGATTTGAAAATTTCTAAATTTTCCATGACATTACTTGAACGAATTAATAAATATTTCATTAAGTTTATATTACATTTATTCGATTTACATTTAGTTGATATTTATTTTATAAAATCATGAATTTATTATTATTAAGTATATTAGTATTACTAATCTTTTCTATATGGTTTAGATAACGAACTGGACATTTTTTTTTGTCAAGTCATAATATATATGATGACCTTGTTTGACGATTTTATTGCAAAAAGAAAAAAAGAAATATTGAACAGCCGCATATCGTAATAATGAACAGAGTAAATGGAATTTAGAGTGTATATATAATATATATATATATATATATATATATATATATATATATATGTACAATGCATGCAGATCTATCTATACTCAAAGAAATTGCAAAATATTATTTATCTGATTGTTTATTGGCGTCATTCAAACGAGACTCGTTATGTAGATGTCCGATATGACGTAAGTCATAAACGAATCGATACCGACTTGTCCATGTGTTACCTTCTCTCCTTGTCCCTCTCTCTCTCTCTCTTTCCCTCTTTCTTACATACATACACGAGCGCGCGTACGCACGTATATATTTATTGCAAAATTTAAATAATAAAAACGTTACATTACGTGGTACTGTTTTCATTATATTACTTACATATGCATTTTGTAAGAAATATCATTGAACTTTTAACTTTTAGTTTCAACTTTGAAATTTATTATTCAATACGAAACTTGTTTTGCATTTATTTATGTTAAATAACAAAAAGTGAACAGTTTAGAGTAGCGTTTAAACGCTATTGTTTTTTTTCCAATTGTTCTATTATTATTAATCAATACGAATTTCATCGGAAATCATACTATTACACTTTGTATTAGTCAATAAAAATTGTTTAAAAAAAAAAAAAATAAAAAAATTTTATAAGAATTGATTATTAAACAAGCATTGTTATGATGACTACGTTAACGTTTTAGAATAATCCATATTTATAACCAACCTGTATGATGTTTAGAATGAGCGTCGTCTTCTGGAAGTTGTATTCGAGGCTAAAATGAATTTGGCCGACGCTTTCGCTGGGTTCCGAATTATCAATGTACATATCGACCAAGGAAATGGATCTGCTTTGCAGAAAGGCTTTCTGTAACAATGAAAAGAAACGAATTTCTATTCGTAAATAAAACGTATTTAGGGAGAAAATATGATACGTTGGTATAATAAAAAACTTATATAATTTTTATTAAACGTTGTTAAGAATTTAAATATTCTTCGAAGAAAGCAATAAAAGTAGGCTAATTCTGGCACGATAATCTCTGGGAGAATATCGGCGTCATTGTTCGTCGTCTATTTAAAATGCGGTCAATCGATTGTGCAACGATTTAAATTCGAGGATATAGTCTGAAGAGACGAAAACTGACATAGAAAATAAAGAAAAAAAAAAAAAAAAAAGAAAGAAAGAAAGAATGAAAAAAAAGATTCCATCGGTAGTTTTTAAATTCATTAGTTACACATCATTTCAAAGAAGAACTTTTTTCTGCGTTCGTGTTCTTGCGTAAAAGGAGAACAAAGAATTGCTTCGTGCGTGACATAGCAATACATGTTATATTCATATCGTTGAGGTAAGGTTTAAGGTAAAGCGCGTATACCGTCACATCCAAAGCTGACCCCGGTAATACGGATATATTTGTCTTTTAAATATGGATAAAAGGAGTGACCAGGGAGACTATGAAAAATTTAATAGGATTCTCTCCAAGGAGAGAGTGCGATACTATCGATATAATATTACACCCGATATTTCATAGTCACGTATCTCGTAAATATAAATCGTAAGTATATGATTTATTTTCAAGAAGGCGATTTTCTTCGAAAATAAGTCTTATTTTTTATAACTGCGATTATCTATACATTACTATGTCTTCTTAATATACTATATATATATATATATATATATATATATATATATATATATCAAGATTAATATTAAGGAGTTTTGAATTATTACTTTACGTAGTTGTAATATTCAGGAAGTATTTACATATAAATAAGTACGCTGATTAAAGCATTCGGAAAATATGTGACTGTTCAAATATCAAGTTATTCATTTTACTTAATTCATTGGAACGACAGAACAGAAAATTTGACATTTGAAAGTTATTTGACAAATGGATGAAGTGTGTCCTAACAATAATTAAAGGCTGTCGTTAGGAATGTAATAGTCTTCAGGACATGGCTTGGTCAAAGGTTGAAAACGAGTTGAATGTAATGACAGAGTGAATCTAGGTAATAGACACATTTTGTAACTATATCAAAGTCGTGATAATAAGAGAACCGAATCGGAACGGACAGATCGTTAACTACAAAACTGACAAGCCAAGACTGATCGAAAGAAGAGACCTTTTTTCTCTTTCTATCTGCCTCTCTCTTTCTCTCTCTCTCTCTCTCTCTCTCTCTCTCTCTCTCTCGAATTATATATTTTTATCGATTAACATATAATGTTTTCCTTCAATTAAACACGGTCAGGTCATAACAGTGACATAACGAAGAAAATCTAAAAGATTATTTTTATCACAGAATTAATGCTCGTGGCCAGGTTCGATAGAACTGATAAGAAAATAGAATCGATAACTCGGAGGTTATTCTCGTAAACCCAGTGAGCTTTTTAATACGGTATAATACCGAGAAACTATGCGAAAGGAATGCGTACTATCCATTATTTACGAATTTAATTAAATATGCTTGGGCCACGAGCAATGGCGAGTGAAATAGATAAATAGAGAGGGAGAGGAGAAAAAGAGGGAGGGAGAAAGACAGAAACACTAAACATATGAATTATATCAGTGTTTAACAAAATCTGATAGGTTAGGTCTCTTCAAGCAATAAACAAAATACTATGGAAATTCGTATATGTATTATTCATTTTTTGTTTTACTACTATTTACTAATATGCATTCTATATTATTACAGGAAAAATATAGGAATTTGTTGTGGAAAGGTTGAAAATTATTAAATTTGAAAAGATTAAATAATTACAAACTTCTATGAGATTATTTTAAAGAATTTTTATGCAAAGAATGTAAGGTCGAAACAATAGAATTTGCGGGTTTGCCAGGATAAAAAGGGGCTCGCGTTTTTTTTCGAGGTCTTCACGGTCGACCAGTATCGTAGAAGTAAAAAGTACAATAAAAATATTTTACCGAGGGGTGATCTCCTTTAACATTTTGGAGCTGCTTGTTTTGCGGTCCAGCCGTTGGAGTGCGTGGTTCGACACTTGCACCGACATTGCTTGCACTACCTGGAGCAACTACGGCAGCACTTGCACCTGCACTACTAGCTGGACCAGCACTGCTGCCGGCCGGTGATTTGCTCGCCGGGCTACCGGTTGTTCTGCAACAATAATAAAGAAATATCGAGATACGGATTAATCGTTTTTTCTCCCTCTCTGGGATTAAAAACAAAAGGAACGAATGAATGAAAGAAAAGAAAAAAAAGAAAAAAAGAAAAAAGAAAGAAGGGTGAACTCTCGATCGGTTCGCGTAATTGGCTTCATCCATCTACCTATGTATACTATATACAAGTATACTATGTACAATATAACACGCGTACGTGTTTCCTTCCTGACTCTCTCTCTCTCTATATATATGGCTATCGACATATGTCACGTTGTTCTTGCAAAATTTGGCATACGATGAAAAGGGAAGAGAATTTCGACGTAAACAACGAGAGTTTCCCTTTTCGATAATGAAACGAGGATTCGTTCGATCGTTCCAGCTGGAATGAAGCCATTAATGTAAGTAATGTAAGTAATATATATATATATACACACACACACACATATATATATATATATATATATTATATAGGATGAAAGAAATGTTTGCTATTTAAATGTATCTATCTCTACGAGAAGCAACAAGCTCCGTATACAATTCATTTCTTTTCGGGATTGATATCTTGGAAGGTAAGTACTTACGTTATATCTGATTATTACTCGCCGATCGTCAAGTGAAAAATTCATGTTTAGTCAACGAAAAGATATTGAAATATTAATTCGGAGTATTCTTTCTTCTGGCCTTTCTCTTTTCTTTACAAGATCGATGATACTCTAAGATAAAATTTAATTAAATATTCCGACGAGAGACGGAAAGAAGAAGAAGATGAAAAAAGAATTTTAAATGTAAAAAATTCATAGAAACGGACGAATTGACCATTTACAAACTATGCAAAAGTTATGTAAATTTTTTTTTTCCTACATACATAGAAAGGTATACATCAGCACTCTTTTCTCCTCGTCCCGTTTTATCGCACAATCAGCTGATAGAAGTTCTCGACTAGCTGGCGAATACTCTTTTATCCGATATAGTATTAAAAAGGAGAGAGAGAGAGAGAGAGAGAAAGAGAGAGGAAGAGAAAGAAAGAGTGCGTGTTGAATGCCAGTTATATATTCACAAAGTCTCCTTTTGTTCAACATGTCGAGTTTAAAACACTCGTTGCACGCGAATCCACGACGCCATATTGTGGTCGTGCGTATCTATTTAAAAGTCTCACGGAATGAATTCTTGCATTTCTCGCGAGTCGACGCCTACGGCGTTCAACGATAACGACGACCACCTCGCCCCGTTATTATCGACTCACCGGAAAAATTCTTTTTCTCACTCTCTCTCTCTCTCTCTCTCCCCCCACCCTTTCTCTCTCTGCCTTCATCTTTTTCTTTTCTTCACGTGCACGCATGCGATGAGAATATGCGAATCCACGAGAGCTTCAGTGAGAGAACATCATTTCCATTTTCTCGTTCTATTTCGAAAGAAAACTATTCTACTTCCTTGGAAAAGCCTTTTCCTTCCTTTTCTTTCATTTTTACTCCTTTCTGTTTTTTTTTCTTTTTCCTGTTGAATTATTTCGTTAAAGCATCATGGTGGATCATGCACCGAATGAAAATGTATAATATTTGTTCGTACGAGAAATACATTCTTTCTTACTCTGTTATATTATAAGCAGGATCAAGCACTTTTTCATAGCTATTTTTTTTTTTTTTTCATATCACAAAAATCTCTTATGCACGCGCGAAGAAAGTTAATATTGAAAAAGGATTCTCGGAAAAGAGGATTCTTCGATTATTCTTCTGTCTCGTATTAATAAAGAAACGTAGATGGTGGATTCGAATATGTGAAGATAATTGAATTTTTCTATAATACATTATCCTTTTTATAATACGTATAAAAAATGTAAATATATGTATATAGAATGAAAACCTTTTTCCATTGGTTTCAACGTCTTGTATTAAAAGAATACAAAATAAAAATGCTATCTATAACATGTTATCTAATCACTAACATGCCGGAACATGCATAAATTTTCTAATCTATGTAATAAGTCTCTTTTTTTTTTTATTTATTTTTTTTTTGGCTGGGGGTGTTTCTATCTTAACTTATAATACAATCTCTCCTTATATACGCTACAAAATCTACTTCAGACAAGCAAGCGTGATCTGAGATAGTATCATCGAACCACTCTTATAATAAATCCAAAAAAAAAAAAAGAGTACCACTCACGTCCATCCTTCCTTGAAAAAGTAGATTCAACTAAGGAGAATTTATCGTTTCCATCTGTGAATTTCGTTTCGAACGTGGACAGAAAATGTCTGGCTGTCTGGACGAAGCTGGTTGAGCTTATCTCGAAATTCGAGTTAAACCGACGTTAGCTCGAACGTTTTTTCCTGTTACTATATATATATATATATATATATATACGAAGTTACGCTAGCACAGGGATATGAAGAACAAAATTTCCAGAAAGAAAAAAAGAAGAAAAAAACTAAGGAAAATAAATAAATAAATAAATAACTCACCAGATGGGTCTTATATTAAATGAGAAATATATATATATAAAGGGATGAATGTAAATAAACACAAATATGCATACATATGTGTGACCGTAAATATATCGTATGTATTAAACTCAATATAGAGGATCGATCGTCCAGTTTTAGAAGCTACGACGTCAATAGAAATGGATTAACGGACGTGGATCACCTCGATCGCTTCATCTTGCTGTCTTCGAAGGAGACAGATGCGTATCACTGGGATTGGTCTCTCTCTTTGCCAGTCAACCGGATTATCGGACGCGACTCGAAGAATCGATTACATTTTACCATGTGCGAGTTAGACTTATACGAGATAATACGATTGGTTGGTATATCTGTGTGAAATGGATAATACCTATATACGGGATAAAAGGATAAAATAAAAATGTGAAAGAAAGTTTAAACCATATTCTTTAATCGTAACACAACTCATCATATCTCGAAAATAGAGACAATAAAAGATGCCACGTTACGAGTTATTTCTAAAAGAATTCTGTTTAAAATATTAAATATGACTCGAGTGATGATGGTGATAGTAATGGAAGTTGATAAGATATAAAAACGAATAAAAGGTAATAAGGCTAATGTTTTTTCATTCGTAGGAAGTTCTAATTCTAGAATATATTTTAATTATATCATTTCGACCCGGCGCTCGATCGCGTCCCTTCTATATTTCCTTGATCGACTGGCTTACTTTCGGATCAATTACTTTCGTCCATTAACCTTGGTCATATAATGTAATAGACCTAAGCTTAAAATAACGAAGAGGATCGAGAGACGCTAATGGATAAGGTCTTTGTAAAGTTTCCATCTCATTCATTCTTATTTAACGAGTTCAGAGTTTATGATTTTTTTTCTCTTTTGCACTCTCTCTCTCTCTCTCTCTCTCTCTCGCTGTTGCTCTGTCCATTATTAATTGGAAATATTAAATGTATATATATATATATTTTTTTTTTCTATTACGATCAATTTCACAATGTATCGAGCAACGATATAAACTGTCCTCGTTGGAAATAATTTTTATTTTCAAGAATAACAAGGAATAGATGGGATCGAACGCGATACATGCGAGTAGATGGAAACTAATACATGAACATGTCGAAGGTTAACCAACGAGGAACGTAATGTGAACCACGTCTAGCTAATAAGCTATCAGCTCCGGTGACCACGTATGCGAAACTATATCTAAGCGAATAACCACGAGCCCATGTGGCATGTTCCTACCCATCGTTGAATTTAATTGATTCCTACGAGACAAGGATACACATCGTCTATCTTATTCAACATTTTCTTCGTCTAGTTTTCTAATAATCCTTGTGCTCTATAACGTTGACTAAATCAACGATAAATCCTATTTATCCTCGTTAAATCATCCTCTACTACTCTGTTAAATCCATAGAAAACGGGATAAACGTTTAGCTCCTGTCGATTTTAAGATCTAGTACAATTTAATAAACGCAATGTGTTGATTCTCCTGCCATTTTCAAAATGGAATGTATGTATACATATGTCTACGTAGATTGTGGAAAAAGATTAAACTTGGCTAGTTTCCTCTCTCTTACTTTCTCTCTCAAGTGTAGATTGATATATCACAGTTGAAATCATCTCTTTTGTTCGTCAAAATGTGTGTGTGTGTATGCGTGTGTGCGAGAGAGAGAGAGAGAGAGAGAGAGCTAAATGTTCGCTTCGTCGGAAACGTGTTCTCGCCTACATTTAATTGGCATTTGGAGGTTGTAGGAAACAGCAGCGGGAGGGGATTTATCGTTTCCAACTTCTGCGTTAGTAAGACTCTTGTGGTGAAGAGTTGAATAGCTCTCTCTCTCTCTCTCTCTCTCTCTCTCTCTTTATCTATTTATCTCATATTCTCTTTCTCTTTCTCTTTCCGTCTTTTCCACACGCACATAGAAACAAATACTCTCTATCTATCTATTTCTCTGATACAAAAGCAACTAAGTTTTATGACTTTGACCGAACAATCTGTCTCGCACTTGCTCGTATCTCTATACGTCGATGTTTAAGAACTTCTTTGACATAGTAGGCCATGCGGAATCGTGCTCGAGATTGGAGTTAAGAGAAACAGAATAATAGAAAGAGAGAGAGAGAGAGAGAGAGAGAGAGAGAGAGAGAAAGTACATACAGATAATTGTGAAAATACGAAAGACAAAGTAGAAATACGCTTAGAAAATAAACGGGCGCGGACAAATACACCCACATATATTTTCGAACAAGGCATGCTTACGAGGAATACAATGTGTTTTCTACCTGTGCAAAGTGTGCCTGTGTATATGTGGATAAAAATACCAAAAAGGAAAAAAAAAAATACAGAAAAAATACGAAGAAGAGAAAACAACGAAGGAGAAGTGAGACGTTGAAATACGTGACCTCTGTTGGAACAACGGAGTATAGAGAAAAGTAAAAAAAAAAAAAAAAAAAAAAGAAAGAAGAAAAAAGATGACAAGTTGAAAAGTATCGTACCAAATCTATACACATTGATCTAAGGAGATATAGAAGAAAAGTTTCAGAACGACTGGCGGAAGCTAAAGCGATCGTAAGAAGCCGAAAAAGATGCTACTTCTTTTTGTGAGAGAAAAGATTCGGTTAGAGTTAGAGTGGTCGAAGAAGGGGGCTGCGAGAAAGAACTAGATATAGAAGTAGATGTAGAAATGGAATAAGACGAAAAATAAGAAGAAGAAGAAGAAGAAGAAGAAGTAATAGCTATAGAATTAGTAGAAGTAGTAGAAGAAACAGAGAGAAGGACACGTCAATTAAGATACTCGTAAAATACTCGAGGGTTCGTGATACTTACTCCAACTGCGCTCTGCATTCCAATTGTTACAGTGAAATGGTGCATGAAACAGAAAAAGATTAATGATTAATTAATTAAATGGTCGAAACAGCGAGCCCCGTTAGTCGGAACAATATAAGTCCTTCAATTTCTTGCCATCGGTAGAGAGACGAATATATAAATAGAGAGATTTAGAAATAGATATAAATAAATGCTGTGAAACAGATAGGCAGGCATATAAGCATTTTTTAACAAGTCATTTATTTTTCAACAAACAAACAACGATAATTAAGAAAAAATAAAAATCGTTCTTTTGTGCTAATGATTTTGTGCTAAAGAAGATTAATGGATAAATCTGTGCTGTCAAAAGAGATGCTTATGAAGGTGCTGATAAATAAGTGACGGAGTGCGTGTCAGAGCTGTGTGTCTTTTCTTTGCTTTTCTTTTTTTCCTTTTCTTTGTTTTTTCTTTCTTTTTTTTTTTTTTTTGTTCCTCTCGATAAATTCCCTAAGAGAAAAAAGAAAGCAATTTACATTTAATTCCAAGAGTGTTACTCGAGTTTCGAGCGAACACGTTCCTTCGCGTTTTTTATTCTTTCCCATTATCTCTTTCGCATCCTCCCCTCTGTTCATACTCGCTGATGAGAAAAGAGAAGGATGGAAAGTGTTTCATAAAAAAAAAAGTTCAGAACGGAGGTGGAATCTATGACGAAGTATTTTTTTCAAAGTATCTCTCAGAAGATTCACTAACCATGATAGATCGATGGATCGGGAGTTCGACACTGGTTTAGATTAAGAACGAGACAAAGAGTACGTATTACCTATCTTCTTTAAAGTTTCAAGGATTATTCGAAGAATTATTATCTTCTCTTCGAAGTTAATCGTTCGCAAAGAGAAACTTTCGACCAAACGATAACTGTCCAAACTTAATTCAGCAATATCACATCTGTTTTGTACGGATCCTGTGTAGTCCGATATCGAATGGAATTTCAATATATTTTATAACCAACGTAGCAATAACTCCCCCGGCCCTCCTCCACCTTCTACCATACCTACAATTCCTATATAACGGAGTAGTCAACGTAAAACAAAGGATTATTATATTTTTGTTTTAAATGATCCTTAAATAAGATCATCTTTCCATCGCAGATAATATTTCCTTTTTCGTAAAAGGCTTAATGTTATTTCGTTAATGCGCATATCGTAAATAAATTACAATTCAACAAATTCTCGATTGAATTCAATCGAGAAGCAAATGATCAAACGTGTTTCAATAATTTCGCATCGCCACGTCCGCGTCCGATCAATTAAATCGGTTATGTTTGCGTTCTTACCTGGTCGTGTAATATTCGAAGAAGGCAACGAGTATTTCCAACGATCTGGTTACTGCGGCCCACATAGTTAAATTTGTTCACGAACGTGGCTCACTTCTCACGTTCTTATAATCGATCGCACTAAAATTCATTCGTAATAGTCTCGTATTTTCGTTATCTCGCCATAAGCGTAAAATAAAAATCGATAGGAGAGGAACTATATTTTCTGACAAGTTATCTCGATATGCACCGAACTCGTTTTCGTTTCTATCGAACTGCTTTTGAAATAGTACACTTGTTCTATCAAAGAAAACATCGAGCTCTTAAGAATTGCCATTTATAATTTATCATTTATTTGATGATATAAATTTTATTACGATGTGAGTTATAGTCGTTCCTTTTTATTTATTTTTTTTTTTTTTTTCAATTAATTTCGTATGGATATGCGTAATGTTTCATCAACGGCGAACTTGCGTCTGCGGGATTCGGGCAAATAGATATCCAGAAAATTTTCGTTTGCTTGTATTTGCATATTATGGGACGATGTTCGTCGGAGATTTACGACTATCTGGCGTTGACGTTTTATGAAACGCATGATAAATGAAACAACAAGTTTAATGTCACTATCTTGTCGCAAACGTATATTCTAGCAATGTGTCTATATAAGTACGGAAGATCAGAAAAATTGATCTCATTAAAAATGTCGGAAATAATAATTAACTCTTACCACTTTGATTTTCATCGATTCACGCGTATGTACTTACTATAATCGATTTGTCAGGTTAATTAATCGATTAACGTCGTCGCTCTCGACGTTGACTCCCTCCTTTAATTATCCGCGACGTTGAAGTCACCGTAAATGAAGCATCTTGAGTTAAGTTGAGTTGAGTTGAGTTGAGTTAAGTTAAGACGACAAAGAAGTTACGCCGTGCTAACGTCGCCTCGGATGTCTCACGGAAGGCATTATCAGGCGGTATGCCTTTAATTTATTATCAACGTAAAGAGACCTGTTATATTTTTATGTTGATCACATTTTACAAGCGTATTATCATGATTAATTGCCACACAACATAATAACAACCAAACGTTATTTTTCTTCCATTTTTTCATCCTCCTGTTTTTAAATCACCCTTATTTTCTTATATTTTAAATCGATTCGTGCGGTTTCGTGTCAAACGCTAAACGTTTTGAAACTCAAACGGAAAGTCCATTTGCGTTGAAATTTATACGGTGTGTCCACGTTGTTGCGACTTTGTAATTGAATGAAAAATTTTTTTTTGAATAAAGAATTTCTACTTAACGAGATTGGATGATAAGTTAAAAACTGCTTGAAAATGTAAATGAAATTTTATTTTTAAACGGGTAAATGAAGTAGGTGAAATTAGGCTTTTACCTATGTACGTACGCGTACGTATATACTACGCACACCTATATCAAATATTCGACATTGAATTGGAATTCGTCCGTTCTTACGATCCGTGTCTTAATTACTCGAGAAATAGGAAGAATCTCGCGAAAATCTTCGCATTCCGTTCGTTTTCCGATCTGGAAAATCCTTTCGAGATATTAAAATCAAATAGGAAAAAGAAAAATTCATCCTGCCGGTAATTAACTTTGGCCAAGCAAAGAAAGTAATGTCTAAAAAGGTGGAACTAAAAAGTTCGACCGGGAATTAATGTTATATAGTGTAATTAGCAAGAAGAAGATAATAAACGGTACATTAGACCAGAATTTGTTCGTTAAATTCTCGCTGAATAATTTATAACATCGTTTTTCTTTTTCTTCTTCCTCTATTTAATAGCAAAAACGTACGATTTCGTCGATGATTGCTTTTAAACGCATAAATTCAAGCGTTTCCCTCGTAACAACTCTACTCGAGGCCCATGATCGTGCTTTTATATTCGTTGCCAAGAAGCAACGGTATATCGTTAAACTTAATGGACACTTCCATCGTCATTATCCGTCCTAGTTGACGTCTCTACCGCGCGAAACCTTCATTTTTGCAAGCAGATATTCCGCTTGTAAATCTTAATGGATGTGAAGTCAACTCGTTCTCGCGTATCCTCTTCAAAAACGAACGGGAATAGAAAAAAACAAAAAAAAGAAAAAACAAAAAAAAAACAAAAAAAAAACAAAATACGACGTAACACGGTACGATGGATGCGTTTCAATAATTTTTCACGTTTCTTTTCTTTTCTTTTTTTTTTTTTTTTTTTTTTTTAACGAATAACGAGGAACGAACCAACACATAAGTATTCTTTTAAACCGCGCCAAACGATAAAATTTTCGAACACATTATATACGATATTTAAAGGTTACTCAATTAAAAAGTAAAACGTTGTAATCTTTCTTTGATATACACGCAACATAAGCTATAAATCCTGTGTACTTAATTCAATAGATTCGTTCGAATTCGACGTATCGATATAATTCATTAATCCTTCAAAGAAAAAGCACAAATCACGTAACTTGTAAATACACATACCTCGATATTATATCAAACTCGTGTAATCAAGCATTGGTACGAAATCAATGATGATTAATCCTATTAGTCGTATAAGCACGTCCGCGGAATATACTCGGTTTCAGCCAGTTGAACAATCAGGAATATTCGAAATATCGGTATTCCAAACAGACGGGTACGGAATTTCTTAGCATTAATCCTGTTGCCCGGTTAACTTCGATCCGCGCGATATCAAAGGTTATAGGCTCGTCTACATCAAACTTGCCTGAATTCTCCGATCATATTTAGTTCGATAATTAATGACAAATCATTCATTTTCGAATAATTCCATTGTCCAAACGAAATATAATTGGGATCATCCATTAAATATTTTTCGTGCACTTTCGTCAAATGTAATTTATTATAGTGATCTTTCAGTAGTTCTCAATACAATGGAACGTACGTAGTATCATAAGAATCGTGTCTCAGGAGAGATTGCAAAAATATCTTGAGTGGACCATCCTATATATGTCAGACGATTCGACGAATTCTCTCGCGTACTTGTATTCTATGTGATCGTTCGAGTTCTCATTCGAAGGGTAGAAGACATTCTAGATGGTATCGAGTGCCATTAAGAGGCGATATATAGACACGATACATTCGAGTATCAGGGAGCTTTAAAGGAGATGATACTCTTGAAAGAATATCGTTTCACCTAAGTTCGCGATCGACTCTCAGTGAACTTCCTTCGTTGAGATTGATGATGGAGAGGATTGATGGGAGATAAGAAAATTCCAAGCGTCGATTGGACTTTGAGAAAGTAGGAACCGCATCGATCCCGATTAGAATAATGGAATCGTTAGAAGATCGATTAAATGTCTCGACTGATATTTCATTAGCTCGTTCTACATCAGAAAGAGCTTAACGTTCTGCGTTCGTGAGTGTAACGAACGAATTGGTTTAGAAAGTATCAGCTGCGAGCTTATTCGAAGAAGAATTGAATTGTTAGATGCTGAATAAAAGAACAAAAAAAGAAAAAGATGAGGAGGAGAAGCCTAGAGGAGGGTTTACAATAAAATAAAAAAAAATAAAAAAAAAAAAAAAAAAACAAAGAAAAAATAAAAAAAAAAAAGAAGTAGAAGAAAAAGGAAGCAAGACGAATAACAAAATATTGATTTTTGTCGATAGTTCAAAAGCAATCTTTTTCTCTTGCAAAAATTTCACAGAAGAAAATTCTTTTCGTGTTGAAAGGAAGAATTCAACCGAAAAATTTCAGCA